TGATAATAATGATAATAATAATAAGAAGAAGAAGAAGAATAATAAATGGGCGGCTACGACGACGACGAGGCGCGGGCCGGGGACCAACTGGCCGAAGACGGCCTGGAAGCTGCCGGGCCGCTCGGACAGATGCGGCAGCTGCAGCCCGACGCTCCACAGGCTGTGCTCGTAGGGCCCGAGCGAGAAGAAGGGGGTCCTGCGGAGGAGGGCGGCAACGAGGCGGGACAGAGTTACCAGCCTCGAACGTATCCTCCTCCTCCTCCTCCTCCTCCTCTACTCCCCATCTCTCCTTCCTCATCTCCTCCTCATCCTCCTCCTCCTCCTCCCTCCTCCTCCTCCTCCTCCTCCTCCTCCTCCTCCTCCTCCTCCTCCTCCTAGAGGCCCCCGTCCTCCTCCTCCTCCTCCTCCTCCTCCTCCTCCTCCTCCTCCTAGAGGCCCCCGTTGGCATGACTCGTGGGCGCGGCGGAAGCCACGCTTCTGAGCAGACCCGGCGCTCCACACCGCGGCGAATCCCTAAGATCGACACGCCAAAAGGCGATGACAACCTCAGGGATCCGCCCTCAAAAAAATAAGGGAACCCCTGAGATCGGCATCGTGAGGAGGAGGTGCCCAGCCCAGGGACAGGGACATGTTCCAGGCTGGTAGCAGACATTGCGAGGAGGGGGAGGAAGAGGAGGACAGAAACCCGCATCTCCGGCGATGTGATAGTCCTCAATCCGGACGGTTTTCCACCCGGGGCCCGCTACCGTGCCCCAGAACTATCGAAAGTGGCCCGGGGCCCGTCACCGTGCCCCCAAACTATCGAAAGTGGCCCTGGGACGCAACAGACTACGGGGCAGGGGGCGCCACCTCTGGGGCCGCGGATCTTAAAAGAACAGATCGGAGGATGTCGAGGGAGGGCGAGGAGGAAGAGGAGGAATACTTGACATCAGACGGAAGAGGAGGAAGAGGAGGAGGAGGAGGAGGAGGAGGAGGAGGAGGAGGAATAGGAGGAACATGAGGAGGAGGAGGAGGAGGAGGAGGAGGAGGAAGAAGAGGACGACGACAACGACGACGACGGCGACGACGAATCCAGAAGCAGACGGCTTTCTTCATCGCTGCGCGCTCAGGGATGGAAGGCCTGGAAGGCCCGGTGCAGGTGCACCCGCAGCTGGGCAGCCCTCGAGCGGGGCACTGAGGAAAGGGGCAGCCCTGGCACGGCCGCGCAGACCTCACAATCACACATGCCAGAGCTGGAGTCCTGAAGCATCGGCACCACCACCAGCACAGGGCGGTGCCTCCACCGGGGACAGACGATCCTGGACTTCGGTGTATGACCGCCATCGCCGACATCGGGATCATCCTCCGTCGGTAAGAGAAGGCCGGAGGAGGCCAAGACGGGGGGCGTCCAAGAGGGGGAAGGGTGCAAATCATGGCCAGCGGCATGCGCGCGGCCAAGGGGGGGCCAGAGACGTAATGAAATAAGAAGAGGCGCCACGAAATCTGGGGAGACATTGTGGCCCCCGCCATGATATCCACCCCCCTAATTAGTCATCACCCCCCTCTTTGCCGCCCCCGAGGAGGCACACCGCCGATGTTGGTGCCGGTGCCATCCTCGAGGACACCGCCGATGTTGGTGCCGGTGCCATCCTCGAGGCCTCCAACAGGAAGCCCCAGCGGCCGACACGCCGCGCTCGCTCACGGGGGGAGGCGTCGACCTGGAACCAGCGATGCATCGCGGATGGATCTGCGATGGGCCCCCTGACAGCGAGACCACACATTCCTGGGGGGGGTGGGCCAGCAAACCCCTGTCGGCGGTGACTGGGCGACTGGGGGTGGATGCGTCTGCCCTTGAGAGCCTACATTCCCCTTAGCACTGAGATCCGACATTGCCAAAAAAAAACTGCGGCATCGCAGAAAATCGCTGCTTGAGCCCTGGAGCCCTTCTTCCTGCGCCATCTTTCGAGCCGGATCGACCTGCGAGGGCCCTGGGGGGCCCGAAACGGGGCGAACACGCGCCCGCTGTGAGAAGATTGCAGCGCCGGGATCTGAGGGCACGTCGCCCCCGAGATTCTCGGGCCAGAAAACGGCTCTCAGGCTGGCCCTTCGGGACGAGGCGGAGGAGGCGGAGGAGGAGGAGGACGAGGCGGAGGAGGAGAGGAAGTGGACGAGGAGGAGAGAGGAGTGGGCGAGGGGAGGAGGAGGGAGGAGGAGGAGGAGGAGGAGGAGGGAGGAGGAGGAGGAGAAGGAGGCGGAAGAGGAGAAAGGAGGAGGAGGAGGAGTGAGCAGGAGGAGAAGGAGGAGGGAGGAGGAGGAGGGGGAGGTGGTGGAGGAGGAGGAGGAGGAGGAGCAGGAGGAGGAGGAGGGGGAGGAAAGAGGAGGAGGAGGAGGAAGGAGGCATATGTGGTGGTGGAGGAGGAGGAGGAGCGTCTGGGCGACGCGCAGCCGGTGGCCCCGAGGCCGGAACGCGACGCCGAGCACCGGCGAAGACGGCCGAGCGCCGAGCACCTCGAGCCTCGAGCCCGGACTCTGCCCCCCGAGATGTCCTCCTCCCCAGACCCCCTCGAGTTATGAATTATCCCAGTGCGACCCTACCTAGGAGTTGGAGCCCCTAGGAAAGCAGCATTAGTAGTAACAGTAAAGCTAAGCTAAAGCTAAGCGAAAGCTAAGCTAAAGCTAAGCTAAAGCTAAGCTGAAGCTAAGCTAAAGCTAAGCTAAAGCTAAGCTGAAGCTAACACTAAGCTAAAGCTAAGCGAAAGTTAAGCTAAGCTGAAGCTAAAGCTAAGCTAAAGCTAAAACTAAAGATAAGCTAACGCTAAGCTAAAGCTAAGCTAAAGCTAAGCTAAAGCTAAGCTAAAGCTAAGCGAAAACTAAACTAAGGCTAAGCTAAGGCTAAGCTAAAGCTAAGCTGAAGCTAAGCTAAAGCTAAAGCTAAGCTGAAGCTAAGCTAAAGCTAAGCTAAAGCTAAGCTAACGTTAAGCTAAAGCTAAGCTAAAGCTAAGCTGAAGCTAAGCTAAAGCTAAACTAAAGCTACGCTAAAGCTACGCTCAAGCTAAGCTAAATATAAGCTAAGGCTAAGCTGAAGCTAAGCTGAAGCTAAGCTAAAGCTAAGCTGAAGTTAAGCTAAAGCTAAACTAAAACTAAGTTGAAGCTAAGCTAAAGCTAAGCTACAGCTAAGCTAAAGCTAAGCTACAGCTAAGCTGAAGCTAAGCTAAAGCTAAGCTGAAGCTAAGCGAAGGCTAAGCTAACACTACGCTAACACTAAGCTAAAGCTAAGCTAAAGCTAAGCTAAAGCTAAGCTAAAGCTAAGCTAAAGCTAAGCTAAAGCTAAGCTAAAGCTAAGCTAAAGCTAAGCTAAAGCTAAGCTAATGCTAAGCTAAAGCTAAGCTGAAGATAAGCTAAAACTAAGCTGAAGCTAAGCTAAAGCTAAGCTCAAGCTAAGCTCAAGCTAAGCTAAAGCTAAGCTACAGCTAAGCTACAGCTAAGCTACAGCTAAGCTAAGGCTAAGCTCAAGCTAAGCTGAAGCTAAGCTAAAGCTAAGCTGAAACTAAGCTAAAGCTAAGCTAAAGCTAAGCTAAAGCTGCGCTAAAGCTAAGCTAAAGCTAAGCTAACACTAAGCTAAATCTAAGCTACAGCTAGGCTAAAGCTAAGCTAAAGCTAAGCTAAAGCTAAGCTACAGCTAAGCTAAAGCTAAGCTAAAACTAAGCTAACACTAAGCTAAAGCTAAGCTAACACTAAACTGAAGCTAAGCTAAAGCTAAGCTAAAGCTAAGCTAAAGCTAAGCTGAAGCTAAGCTAAAGCTAAGCGAACACTAAATTGAAGTTAAGCTAAAGCTAAGCTACAGCTAAGCTAACACTAAGATAAAGCCAAGCTAAAGCTAAGCTAAAGCTAAAGCTAAAGCTCAAGCTAAAGCTAAGCTAAAGCTAAAGCTAAGGCTACAGCTCCCAGGGGACTGGGGGAACCGCGGGGCGGGGACTGGGGGAACCGCCCGGGGCGCTTTCCACTGCCCGGCCCCTTTAAGCTAACAGAGTAAGAACCCTTCTAGGCAGAGCCTAGGTAGGGAAAAATCAAGACGGGAGGTTTTTCACTACTTTTGGCCTCTGGGGGGCCTTACCGGCCCTCGGGACCGTCAAAAAACGACTCAGGACGAAAAACCGGTCCCGGGGAATGGGTCGAGACCTCGGGGGGTCGACGTCGTGAAAAAATCATGACGTCGGGGGTCTGGGTCCAGCCACGAGAGCCTGGCGCTTCAATCCTGTTGTGGTTGGTGGCGAAAGGCTGCCTAGAGGCCCAGACGCCCTCGGCCGAAGGGCCGAGAATAGTAGTACAGTCGGGGCGTTGACCTAAGGAACCCGCAATAAGGAACGAGGCCCCTCCTTTCCCATAACTTAAACTTCGATTCCCCATCGAAAACCTTGGGAAAACCCAAAGCAAGCTGTGAAACAATCAAGGAAAACGGAGCCCCTCCCCAACGAAAAGGGTTCCTTCTTCAAGACCCCTACTGTACAGGGTGCAAGAGAAACCGCACTAGAGCAGCCTCGTGGCCACCCCGGGGCGGCATCAACTTTGGGCTTGCAGCCGAGGAGCAGACTGCGGCCACCGCACTTCCGGGCCCCCGTCGCTGCGCAAGGGGGGGACACCCCACAAGTTAGGAATATCAGCGTTGCGCTGCTAGGACATGAAAGTGGCACGCTTCGGTGCCAGCGGGACGTGAACTACACAGGCCAGATTTGGGCGAGCCCCCAGAGAAGATGATGATGACGACGAGCAGGACCCCCCACAACACGAGGCACCCCCTTTCCCAGCCGCAACCCTGCGCGAGCCGCCTCGGCAGACAACAATGGCGGATTCCGCGCGCTTTATGCCCAATCTCCCATTGGAAGAGAGCCAGCTATCAGGTGTCGGCAGAAATCGCACACCAATGCCGAAGCAGGGCGCAGGGAGGACACGAAGCGTCAAGGTACCCCGTGCGCAAAAGAGCCCTGCGCGCCGCACGGCCCCTCCCGCAGGGGCCCGGGATCCCAAACCAGGAGTCTCAACGGCAGGCCCTCCTCTGGCCGCGGGCGACAAGGCAAAAAACCCGTCCGTGCACGCCCCTGCCCCGCAGTGGAGGCAAGGGCCGTCTCCAGATGCCGCTGAGCGACTCTCTGTAGACACCGCGCTGCGCACGGCCACGGCCCTCCGGAGGGGCGTAGGGGGGTGGGGCACCGGAGTGCCTGCCCGCGGCCGCTCAGCTTGCGCCGGGCGTTTCAATCTTTTCACCACGGGCGTTTTCGCCCGATTTCGGGCCCCAGGACCCTCACAAATCGATCCGGTTCGAACAACGACGCCGAAAGGTGGGGTCTGGGGCTCCAGGCGTGATTTTTGTTAACTTTTGTCAAAGGCCGCGAGCGAGAGCGCAAGCAGCGGCGTGTCAAAATCCAGGCGGGCCGCGCGAGGTACTAATGAGCCAAACAGGGGCAGGCCGAGCACCGGCACTCAGAACGGGACCAGGAAGTCGCCGGAGTGGAGGTGGGGCGGCAACACTGCTCGGCGGTGCAATCGTGCAAAGTAATTTGTGTCGAGCCTTGTTGCGATTTTCCTGCGACGTCGGACGAACGCTGCCCGCGAGCGGGGTCTCCGCGGCCTGCCGCGCACCTGGGCGCCGCGCGCCCTGCCGCCCAGCGCCGCCCGCCGCGGTGCCTCGCCGCGGTGCCTCTCCCGCCGCGCCGTGGCTCGGCGGCACCCCTCGCCGCGGCGGTGCGGCGTGGGGCGCCGCCCGCAGCCGGCGGAGGGGCGCCGGCCCCCTCTGCTATAACATCGGGCCGCGCTCCGCGCCGCGGGCCGCCTCGCCCGCCCAGCGCTGGCGGCTCCAGCGGTCGTGAGCCTCCGCCGCCCTCGGGCGGCCCCCCGCCGCCGCCCGGCGGGGCCTGGGCGAGGCCCTGTGCGCTTGCGGGGCCGCGCTCCGGGCTCGGAAGGTGTGCGGTCGCCCGCTGGTGCCGGAGGGCGTTGAAAGTAAGGGCCCGCGTCCTTCTGCACAATAGCCTCTCGACGGTCTCCGCGGGGGCTTCCCCGACGTGCGGTCGGAGAGAGGCTCTGTCGAGGGGGGCGCCGCGGGCCGCCTCGCCCGCCCAGCGCGGGCGGCTCCAGCGATCGTGAGCCTCCGCCGTGCCCGGGCGGCGCGCCGCCGCCGCCCAGCGGGGCCTGGGCTGGGCCAGCTTTGGCCAGGGGAGCTCGCAGGAGCCGCGCCCACGCCGCCCCCCGCCCGCCCAGGGACGAGGCTAAGGCGATCGACATCCCATCCAGGCCCCTGCTCAAGCCAGAACTCTGCGAGGGGGCGGAGCGGGGACACGGACAGAAATCCAGCCTCTGGAGGCCGAGTTTTCTGTCAAAGCCCTGCCCCCCCCTCCCCCGGCAGCCGGAGCAGGAGCAGAAGGAGGAGGAGGAGGAGGAGGAGGAGGAGAAGGAAGGAGGAGGAGGAGGAGGAGGAGGAGGAGGAGGACGCAGGACGCAGCATAGAACGACGAAACATCCGAGAACGCGACGGCGACTACATGAATTGAACAGGGGGAGCGTGATAAATCATCACTACTCCAGGCCGACTGGGCAGCCAGACGGTACAGTGCGGAGGGAGGCCATCGATGTTTTGATGGCACCAACCAGCTCAGGCATAGTGGGCGGCACCCGACAGGCCTACCCCCGCATCACAGGTCATAAGGGAACGCCTGACGCTGGATGTCTACCCTCGGCAAGACGGCCCCTGGCTCGCCGACGGGCTGGGTTCGGGGGAGCCGACGGACACGGGCTGAGGCCAGCTTTCGACCCTGGATATACCAGCGCCGATTCTGAATTCTAACCTCCCAGGAGTGGCATCCTAACATGGTCGCTACCTGTCGTGGGCGCAAGCTGTGGCGCCCTGTCCTGGTCTGTACAAGCGCCTGCCTGAGGCGAAGCGACTAGGAATGAATGACGATGAGGAGGATGCCGAGGAGGACGGGGAGCAGAGAGGCAAAGGGACGGGTGAGAGCGAGGGGGAAGGAGGGAACGGAAACTCTCTGGCTCCTCCTCCTCCTCCTCCTCCTCCTCCTCCTCCTCCTGCTCCCCCTATGCCTCCCCCGGGAAAGAGCACGCGGCCCTCCTTATCTTCACAGTGAAGGCGGGCAGAACGGTTCCCAAAATTACCAGCGCGATCGAGAAGGCCAGCGCGATGCCGAGGGTCCCGTAGTCGCGCTGCTGTCTCCTGCGACAATCCAGGAAGGGCGGGAGGGAGGGGTAGGAGAAAAGGCGAGGGAGCCTTATCTCTCTTTGGACAGAGGCGGCGTGCGAAAGGTTGCCTGCCTACCTGTGAGCTCTAAGGGCGCTCGCAAGCGCCTCCCACTTGCAGTCGTGCCCGCACAGGGTACGGCTGCCGGCAAGAGAAAGGAGAGGTGGGGAGGGGATGGGGAAGGGAACATAAGGGAAGGGCAGCGGAGACGGGACGGCAACGGGAGGGGGAAGGCATGCAGAAGAGGGAGGGAGGGACCGGGACTAGGACGGTGGCCTGCCTCCGAAGAGGCTGGTCCAAGAAAAAGAGAAAGAAACAAGAAGAGGGGGCGACCGCGTTAGCGCGAGTCGCTCACCTCGGACAGGCCCATAACATGGGAGTAGAAGGGGCCATCACGTCGGCCGAGCAAGTAACAATAGCATGGAAGGAGCCGAACGCTCAGCAGTGTAATGGAGCCGGCGAGAGGGAGGGAGGTGATGAGGGAGGAGGAGAATGAAGAAAACTCGTACCCACCGGGTCAGGCTATGCTGACCCTGACGTTGCTGGCCCCGTGCACCCCAAAGTCAAGACGGACACCCCTGAGATCCGACGCTGCCAAACAATCTGCAACATCCCCAACAAAAATCAAGACTGGAGCCCCCGACCCCATCTTTCTGAGTCATTGTTTGTCGAGCTGGATCGATCTGTGAGGGCCCCGGGACCCGAGATGGAGCGAGAACGCCCGTTGCGCAAACGCTGCAACGCCAGGATCTCAGGGACAGTCGACAGCGCTCTGCGGACCGACCAGAGCGGTGGCCCCTTCGAGCTCCGATCGACGCATACGTGGCCTGCCGATGGGGTAAAGGGCGAACTGGTGGGGCTCGACCACAGGAAACCTTCCGCGAGAAGCCCAACCCGGAGACCCCAGGACGTCCAGTGACTTTTTGGAGCCTGGGAGCGCCAGGCGTCCCATCGCAGAGCCGTCGAAGCCCAAGAAACCCAGGGCACCCTGGAGGCGAGCTGGGCGTTTCTTGGCATGGGCCTCCACTGTCCGACCAGCCATAACTGGGGGAGCTGTGGTCCCTACCCCCCTTGGGGAACCCATCGCATCGACGATCTCTCGAGAGGGGTGTCGAAATCGATGGGTCCCGCAGGAGGAGGAGGAGGAGGAGGAGGAGGAGGAGGAGGAGGAGGAGGGGGAGGAGGAGACGGAGGAGGAGGAGGAGGAGGAGGAGGAGGAGGAGGAGGAGGAGATGGAGGAGGAGGAGGAGGAGGAGGAGGAGGAGGAGGAGGAGAGGAGGAGGAGGAGGGGGGGGAGGAGGAACAAGTTAGGTGCGCTCGCGTCAACATCTGACATCCTACCCCTCCCTCCCATCCCTTACCATGGCGCTGATTTTCTCTATCCGCGGACGCGTGTCGTAGCGGACCTGTGGCTCCGCGCGCGTGTGCGTAGTGGGTGGCGGTGCGCGTGCGTGCGTGCGTGTGTGCGTGGTTGTGGTTGTTGTGGTGGTGGTGTGTATGTGTGTGTGTGTGTGCGTGTGTGCGCGTGTGCTGTGGTGTGACGTGGTGTGGCGTCTTGGTGGTTTGGTGGTGGGCCAGGTGCGTACTTGCGTGATGGCGGTGGTGGTGGTGGCGGTGGTGTGTGTGTGTGTGTGTGTCTGTGTGTGTGTGTCTGTGTGTGTGTGCGTGTGTGCGTGTGTGCGTGTGTGCGTGTGTGCGTGTGTGCGTGTGTGCGTGTGTGCGCGTGTGTGCGTATGTGTGTGTATGTGTATGTGTATGTGTGTGTGTGCGTGTGCGTGTGCGTGTGCGTGTGCGTGTGCGTGTGCGTGTGCGTGTGCGTGTGCGTGTGCGTGTGCGTGTGCGTGCGTGCGCGTGTGTCTGTGTGTGCGCGCGTGTGACGTGGTGTGACGCGGTGTAGCGTGGTGGTGGTGGGTGGGGTAGTGCGGTGGTGGTGGCGGTGCGCGGTGGTGGTGCGCGTGCGTGCGTGCGTGCGTTGGTGGGTGGAAGTGGCGGTGGGTGTGCGTGCGGCGGGGCGGGACGTGGTGCGGCGCGGTGGTGGCGGGCGGATGGGCGCGCAAGAAAGAGGCCCGCGCTGGGGCGAGAACGCCATCCTGAACGACGGAGGCAAAACACCGATCCGAAAATGAGGCCCACGCTGCAGCGGGAGCACGATTCGGAACGATTCGGGAGCAGAAATGAGACCGGCGCCTCAGCGAGAGCAGCATTTTGGAAAAAACGCAAACGAAAACCCGTTTCCCGGGAATCCCGTGTGTAAAAAAACAATACGCGGGGGGGTGTCGGATATCTTCGGGACGCCATCAGGGGAAGTGGGAGAGTATTTTCATATTGTGTAATTGTGGAGGAGGAGGAGGAGGAGGGGGAGGAGGAGACAGAGGAGGAGGAGGAGGAGGAGGAGGAGGAAGAGGAGGAGGAGGAGGAGGAGGAGGACGGGTCGCCTAAGCCCTCCGGAGAAACCCTCAACTGAGATCTGGCGGCTGTGGTGAATGTCTCGGGCGCCGCGGCCTTCTCAGAGCGCTCTGGAACGCTCTAGCCCCGTTCGACACCCAGCGCCGCACACGATTGCCAGGAGCGGGCCCAACTGCATAGACATAATTTCTCGGAGGTCCGCGCTGATTTCTTGCATCGGCGCTGGACCCCCTCCCTGGCGCGCGCGGCGTCGGAGGCGCCGCCAATGAGGCCCAGCGCCGATCCAAGAAATCCGTGCGGACCACCGTGGGGAATTTTCCACGAAATATTAAAATACAAAAAATACTCAGAAATAACAAAAAAATACTCAAACATTAATCCCCAGATTATTTTTGGACTATTTGTGAATATTCCCCCTGTAGAGGGACAGGCCCGACTTAAGATTACTTATGCCTGCGCTGCTTCCTGTCTCTCGAAACGCACCGGACTGGGACCTTGCCTGGGCCAGTGCGCACCAGCGTGCTGCCCCCCCGAGGGCTCGCGAGCGTCGTCGCCGTCGTCGTCGTCGTCGTCGTCGCCGTCGTCCCTCTTCACGGTCGACCCGCCCAGCTCGCGGTGGCAAGTCCAGCGTGCTGCGCCACCCCATCGCCGCTGGAAGGCCCCTCCGCATGACGGCCCCCGCACAGGGAAGCTGCGGGCATCTTCACCACTACAGTCGGGGCCTCGACCTAAGGAATCCAAACTATAAGGAACGAGGCCCCTTTTTTCCATAAGTTGAACCTCGATTTCCGATCGAAAACATAAGGAAAGCCTGAGGCAAGCTGCGAAACACTTCTTAAGGAACGCGGAGCCCCTCCCCAACGAAGAGGGTTCCTTCTTCGGGGCCCCGACTGTACACGGGTCCCGCCCTGCCCGCTGCAGCTCGACAGCTGCGCCAGCAGAGCAACGGACCCTGGGCTCGCCCGTGGGGGCGTCTGCCTGGCGAGCTCCTGAGGGAGAGGGAGGAACCAGAACAGCCCTGACCAGCGACGCCGCGACTTGTTCAAAACTTGCAGGCTTCTGGCCTGGACGATCCAAGGTTGCACTTGTTTTAGGTTCAGCGTGCTTCCAGTTCGCACGCAGTCTGATTACATTTGCCCTTGGCAAACTCAGCGCGTGTTCGCACTTGTCCGCCTTGGCCCCAGGACCAAGTTTTCACCCCAGGTCGTTTTTGTTGCTGGTCCTGGGGCCTGGTAAGGACACCCGGAGGCCGAAACCACCCAAACACCTTCCAACCGTGTTTTTCCGTCGCGAGGGGAGGAGGTGGGGGCGCACGAGGAAGAAGATCAAAAAGGCCTCGTCGGAGCGAAACGAGCGCGCCAGAACGTGCTGAAGGTCGGGAGCCTTCCGCTGTGACTTCGCCGAAAAGCGAGTGGGGGCGGGGGGAACACGAGGAGGAAGATCAAATGGGCCTCGCTGGAGCGACTCGAGCGCGCCAGGACATGCCGAAGGACGGGAACCTTCCGCCTTGATCTCTCCGCAGCGAGAGGGGGTGGGGGAGCACGAGGAGGAGGAGGAGGAGGAGGAGGAGGAGGAAGAAGAGGAGGAGGATCAGCAAGGCTACGCTTGAGCGAGACGGGCGCGCCAGAACGTGCTGAAGGTCGGGGACCTTCCGCCGGGATTCCTCCACAGTGCGAGGGGGGCGGGGGGCGCACGAGGAGAAGCATCCGCCGACCCCTCGTGGGTCTCTAGGCGTGCGGGATCGTCCCCCCTCCTAATCCCCCCCCCGGGGGGGGCCCACACCGGCAACTCGACGCCCCCCCCCTCCCGGGCCGCAGAAGGTCCCGGACAATGCGCGCCAGGGGGGGCGGGGGGGAGGGGCAGAACGGTCCAAGAGGGCACCAAGACGCCCCTCAGACGGTCCAAGAGGGTCACGAAGTGGCCGCAACACCGCTCCAAAACGCCGACGATGGTCTCCAGACGGCCTCCGAAGCTCCCAAGACACCCCAAGAGGCCCCGAACATGACTCCCAAGAGGGTCCCCCGACGCAGAAATGGTCCCATTCGCCTCGTAAGACGTACAATTTTAGCAACTTCGCCTTTTCGGCTGTCCGACGTTCCAAACCGAGTCAAGAGCCCCCCAAGACCGCCCCAGGACGGCCCAGGAGACCAAAAACGCTCCAAGACGGCCCAAGAGGCCTCCAAGACGGCCCGAAAGGCGCCCGAGACGGCCCAAGAGAGTCCCAAGACGGGCCCCAGAGAGAGCCTAGAGGGGAACCACAACCGGCGTTCTGCCGCAAGAGGTCGCCGGGAAGCCCCAAGAAGCCCCCAAAAGGCACCAAAGGGTCCCCAGGAGGCCCCCCCAAGAGCCCCCAGGAGGCCCCCGTGAGGTCTAAAAGAAGCCCCAGGAAGCCTCCAAGAGGCCGAAAAGAGGGCTAAGAGGCTCCAGTACGGCGACCACGAGGCCTCGAGCCTGTCTCCAGGAGGCCCCCGAGAGGCCAACCACGGGATCCCGATCAACATCCATGAGCCCTCTATCCTCGTCGTCGCTGTCGTCGCCTTCTTCACCCCCATATCCTGCTCATCGCCCTCCTCCTCCTCCTCGTCCTCCTCCCCCTTTCTCCCCCTTCGCTCTCATCCTCCGAATGTATGATTCCCTCCCGGTTTCGGTGGATGTGCCTCAAGTGGTACCACTTGAGGCGTGTCACTCTGGCCCGCAAGCCAGGCACCAAGGGTCCACGCCACGCGGAGCAGCACCAGCACCGCGCGAAGCACCCCACGACATACCAGACGCAAGACAACACAAGACACGCCAGCCAGCGCTGCACGAAGAGCCCCGCGAAACACCCCACGATACACTGCACGGGATATCCAACGAAGCACCCAAACGAAAC